TGATTGGTTTCATAACTAGGTTGAGTTTTTCTCTGTCAGGAGGGAATTATACCGAAGTTCTTTTCTTGTGGAGTTTGTATTATAACCCTTAGGGTAAATTTGCTGTCGGGGAGGGACACACAGCTCCAGTTTATGGAACCTCTGCCAGTTAAGATAGTGTCATCTGGTATAAGGTCCTGGGAAAATCACTTCATAGGGATGGCTTTCCAAGTGGTTTTAAACTTTAATCCTTCTATTGAAGTTTTTAGGTCAATTATGTATGTTGACTCAATTTACAAATAAACTTGTTTATTCAACTAAGTGTGAAAAACCTAAATTGAGTGTGCAAAGCTTTAGTATATTCATCATCTAGGTTCTTAAAGTTTGAGTTTAGCTTATTTCAGATTTTGCTTGGTAGTCAAAGGAACCTTTTATTTACAAAAATACATAACAAAGCATGTAAACAGCCTTCTGGTCTGAAAAAGTCATTACTGCCATATTTGCATTGTAGGTTTAAGACAATTGTATGGTTCACTCCCCCATACTGTCCAGGAATAAAAATACTTTTATTCAAGGTGCAATGTAGGCCAAGGAAAGTAAATTTCTTTTGAAATTCTAAGACTCACACTTGGCAGCTGTTTTCGGACCTTGTTTGTGAGGCACGTTTATAGATCTCTTTATACAGCAAGTTGTTTAAACTCAAGCCCACAGATGTAGAATTCATTTAGTCTGAGCCACTTTTTAAGTATGTAACTTGTTTTCTTCACAAGTGTTGGCCACCAGTGAAGCATAGTGTGTGATGTTAGCAAGACAAAGGCACAGGAACCACACCCATCATCAGACCCATCTTCAGACAAAAGTGTTCTGTGTGATGTGAAGTCAGTAGCTGTAGAAAGACCTTTATGTTGTAATACTTTTTAATTTGGATTAGTTTCAAATATAAGGGTCAAGGGGCTTACTATTGAAGAGAAGTAAATTAGAAACGGAATCTTGGTAACTTAATGAGCTTTTATGAGGTGTCAAAGGTAGAAACCAGTACAATACAATGAACTGGTTTTCTGCAAGGTCCATCATAACCAGCTCTGGAACAGTCCCCAGTTTTGACAGTTTACTCACACTGCTTGTGAAGGACATTGAAATCCTAGATAGTGAAATAATGTGATGTGCTGTGGAGTCTGGCAGTGTCCAAGCACAAGTGGAGGAACAGCTATGATGATGAGTTTCCAGTTATCACTCCAGTGGCTGACACTTGAACAACTTTTCTCCAGTCAGCCTCCCCAATATAGGAATTTTATTGGGCAGCTTGGAATCTGCTGCTTAAAAACTGCAACTTGAGCTTCCACACTTTGAGCATACTTTTAACCCAGGAGGCAGAAGTATTTTTTAGTTAAGGAAACTGTCCATATATGTGTTGGTGTAGGTGGTGAAACTGTAAGGAGAAAAGCAAGCAAAAGTTGGAGCTGATGGAGGTCCGTGCCCTTGATGGATGAGACAAATAAAGTCTTTGAAGTTTAGACTTTTCTTGTTAATGGTCTTCATTTGATAATATCATTTAATAATGATGATAACATTTTTCATAAAATTTTCTATGGGGAAATGTCGGGAAAGTCTTCCCTTATGACTCGGCTGGGGTTGGGGGAGTGCATTCCTCAGGTCTCCACTAGGGCTCCCCCTGCCTGGCTCCCTGCAAGCAACTGCTTGCCTAGTGTCAGGTGTTGAGGCTGGAGACTGCAGCAGGTGGAAGGCAGACCGCTTCTGGATCACCTTCAGGTAGGGTAGCAGGGGATGGACACAGTCTAGTCTGCCACACGGTCAGCAGGAAACCCCTGGGCTTGGTCTTAAGTTTCTGCAGGAAAGGAAGCCTGTGTTGGGAGCGGCAGCAGTAGGCCAGGGATCCATGCTTCAGGCCCATGGTCAACCTAGCCTGCCACAGAGAAAGATGGGGTGTAGTTTTCATCGTACCCTTCTGCCACTGTGGTCCACTGGGTACCAGAACTGTAAGCCCCCACCCTGGACATCCTGTCCCCACCCCTATGTCTCCATCCCTTGGGTTGGGAGCACTTAACAATCAGCTCATCCAGGTAATCACAGTGCACTTCCGTCAGCCCCACCCCAGGCACTGATAGAAGAGCTCAGCTGAGCTGGGGGCGCCTTCCCTGAGCTCAACAGCCTCTTCTTTCCCTCACCCCAGTGGTGGTCTCACCTTCCTCGAGGTATTCCTCAGGGATGTCACCAGCCCCAACAGCTCCATCCTGCTGGGCCTGGCTTCTGGCCAGCAACTTCAGCACAAGCAGCCAGGCTTCCAGCTACCTTCCTGAGGACAAAGCTTGAGGAAGGAAGGAAGGAGGAGCAGGCACTTGCCCAGGTTGCTAACTCAAATCCTACAGCACCCCCAGGGAAAAGGCTGATGACCTTCTCGGGCCAGGTGGCTGACCTTTCGGCTCCCTGACCCCTTTGTCAGCAGGCCTGGGAAATGAGCAAGGCTCAGTGAGAGGACCCTCTACCCCTATTCCCCTGCTCCATTGCCCTTCTCGTGGAAGAAGCTAAGAGGTTCTGCTGTCATCTCAGCTTCAGTGAGAAGCAAGCGGAGGGGCTTAAGTGAGGCTGCTGGAGGGGCTCTAAGGCCACGTGTAACCTGGAAAAGAGCACAGAAGGGTGTGGTCAGAGTCTGGGGTCCTCTCTCTGGAAGCTTCCAGCTCCCTTTCAGGAAGCTGTGGTTCTCGGACTAGACAGTGGAAGGGAGAGTGGGCTGAATGGGAAAAGGCCATCTTGGGACTCATCAGTACCAGCGACAAAAACGCCTCTGGGAAAGGGAGGTTGGTGGGCTGCAGGCTTAGGACCAACTGCCTTTCGTTGAGGGGTGTGTGAGGGACTGCACACGTCCCCACAGAGGTGCTCAGTCTCCATTAACCTCCACTCCCTTCCCATGCCCTCTGTTGGACATACTGGGCCCCAGGACCTTTCCTATAAGCTCTTCACTGTCTAGCACTGAGTCAAGGGGACAGGATAGGGTTGGGTCCAAGGCCCAGGCATCATGTAATTGAGGATCCTGCTGAAGCCTAAGGGCTTCTCCCTCCCCAGTGCCCTGCCTTTGGCCAGTCTCAGTCCTCCTGCCCACCCCCAGTGACCTGGAGGCCTGGGCCAGCTGCAGTGCCTAGTGTGAGATGCAGGAATAGAGCCGCAGCTGCATTCCTGAGTCTGGATTTGCTCCCTGCCTGGCCATCAACCGGGTGGTGGTCAGCCTACAGGGCAGGAACTTAGGGGACACAGTGGGGGTATCAAATAAAGACAAGGCCTACAGCAGGCCCCTCTTAGCAGGGACAAGAAGCTCCTGGCGCTCCAAAGGCAGGCAGGGCCTCAGTCTTCCTCTGGAGTGGTGCCTGGCACACAGCAAAGACTCCAGGTGTGTTTGCTGGCCAACCCAAATGGCCCTGGCAGCCCCACAGCACAGCTGGCTGGATCTGCTCCCAGCACAAGTGGCAAAGAATCAGTCAGGTTCCCAAGAGCATTGGTTACTAGCCTGGCTTCCAAATTGGGAGCATTCCAGGTAGGAACTGGGGCTCCAGGGGTCTAGGAGAGCAGCTGCCCCTCCTGTTCCCTACTGAGAGGCTGAGCTTTGGATCTTAACACTTCAGTAAGCCGAGGCTGGTAGACTAGGGGCTGAAGCAGGTCAGGGTGCTCCTCAGGTGGTTGCTAAGAGAACAGGCTCAGGGTTAGACAGACCCAGGTTCAAGGCCCAGCTGTCCTACTTGGATGAGTTCCCTAAACCATCTGTGCTGCTTTTCCTCATCTGTAAAATGGGAATAAAACCAGTACCTACCCGATAGGCTTATAAGGATTTAATGAAACAATCTGTGCAAAGTCTGGTGCCTTTAAAAATATTTGACAACAGAAGTGAAGAGCAGTGAACAATCAGAATAGGCACTGATAGTAAGCAGGCAGTACTGCCCTACGGGCCGCATCTCAGCTCTGATCCCAGGGCTGCCCACAACCTCAATACTAGTATTATCAATATTACAGAAGCTATTATCAGCAATGTTACAGAAAGGCCAAGAGGGCCCAAATCAGGAGATAGGCTAACCCTCTGGGACAACAAAAAGATCCTCTCAGGATGGGGGAGAGGTTGGGCCATCTGCTGAGAGCAATCATTGTCAGACACTGTGTCTGTAGATATTAGCCTGGGAGGTGTGGAACCAAGTCCATCTGCAGTGGAGATGCCAGAGCTGCGTGAAGCACACAGACCTTCATCCTGTGAAGAAAGCCCGGGTCTATCAAGGACGGCCCAAGGGCTAAGAACTGGGCAGGGAGACAGCTGTGGATTCTGGGAGAGAAGAGGCGCCTCTGGAACACCTGTCCTCAGTGGTGGGCCAGGTCTTGCCATGGCCTGGACAAACATGCCTTCGTGACTTCTAGGCTTGCCTGGGTCACCGGGCACTCAGCTGGCACAGGTGGTATTCCTGCCACTGGACATTTATCCCTGTGGGTGGATATTACCGGGAATTCTATCATGACAACTCAGTCGTGTGTGAGACTTGGCTCTGGCTACTCGGATACAAGTATTTTGGGCAGCAAAGCAGAGGACAGACCTTGAGTGGCAGTGTCCCCTTTAAGGTGCCACCTTCCCCCTAATCTTGTGACATCTTGCCAGGAAATGGGAGGGAGGGTCAAAAGTCACAGACAGACTTCCTTTGCAACAAATTTCATGTAACATGCTAAATGAGATTCAAACACTGAGAGTAAACAGGTCTCCCAAGTGCAATCAATGTTTCAGAGTCCGGGTGAACGAACAGGAGCATTTGTCCTTGGGTCAAATTAAGTTTCTCAGAGAACAACGGAAGCAATACAAAGCATAAAGACAGGTCAAAGGGATGGTCAAAACCGGTATTTTCAATCAAAATAAAACAATGGAAATAAAAAACAAGGGTGTGTGTGGGCTGCCCAGTGGTCAGAATTCCTCCTCTTTAATCTTATTCTGAAAGCTCTTTACTATCACACTATCATAGCATTTATCTCAGTCGGGAATGGGGAGTCAGATCATGACTGCCTCCCAATCAAAGCTTGAAAGCCCGAGGCTTTTCTCTGGCCAGTTGCCTGCAGAAGAGTCCCAGGTAATGTCTGTTGTATTAATGAATGATTGATAGTAATAGCAAATATTTATTCTGTGCTTACTGAGGGCCAGGGCTGGGCTGAGCACTCTGAAGATTATCTCATTTGGTTCCTTTTATAATAGTCTGTTGGGAAGGAAACACTAGTCTCATTTTACAGATGAGAACCTGAGGCTCAGAGAGGTCTAATCATCTGACTGAGCTCACACAATAGTAGGGGCAGAGATTTGGGCTCAGAGCTGCTGGACCCCAAGGCTGAGGTGGGTAAAGGATTCTCAAAGCAAGGGATGCTTCCCACATCACTACCTCATGGGGAGGCATGGTTTGTGAGTTTAATTCCATTTCAGCCAGCCCCAAGGGCTGCTCATTGTTTGTCCTGAGGAATGCTCAAAAGGAGCAGGGGGGAGGGTACAGCTCAGTGGTAGAGTGCATGCCTAGCAAGCACGAGGTCCTCAATTCAGTCCCCAATATCTCCATTAAAAATAAATAAGCCTAATTTTCTCCCCTCCAAGAAAAAATTAAAAAAAAAAAGAAAAAGATCAAAAGGAGCAGTCCATCAATGAAATCTGGAATTTTCATTCCCAGTTTAAAAAAAAAAAAGCTTATTGAGACATAATACACATACCACACAATTCACCCATTTAAAGTATACATTTCAGTGGTTTTAGTATATTCACATATATGTTTATTTAGAATATTTTCATCACCACAAAGAGAACTTGGTACTCAGCTATCATTTTCCTCAGTCCCAAGTAACCACTAATCTACTTTCTGTCTCTATAGATTTGCCTATTGCAGACATTTCATATGGATGGAATCATACAATTTGTAGTCTTTTGTAACTGCCTTCTTTCATTTACCATAATGTTTTCAAGGCTTATCCATGTTGTAGCAGGTATCAGTATCATTCTCTTTATGGCTGAATAATATTTCACTGTATAAGCCACATTTTGTTTATCCATTTATCCCTTTGGGTTGTTTCCACCTTTTGGCTAATGCAGATAGTGCTGCTATGAATATTAATATACAAGTTTTTGTGTGGATATATGTTTTCAATTCTCTTGAGTGTATATTTAGAGTGAAATTGCTGGATCCTATGATAACTCTGTGGTTAGCATTTTGTGGAACTGCTTAATTGTTTTACATTCCCACCAGAAGTATATGAGGGTTCTGACTTCATTGCATCTTCACCAACACTTGTTATTTTCTGGGTTTTTTTTTTTGAACCATCCCAGTGGGTGTGAAGTAGTATCTCACTGTGATTTTGATTTGCATACTGCTAATGACTAATGATGCTGAGCATCTTTTCATGTGCTTATTGGCAATTTGTACATCTTGTTTGGAAAAAAAGTTTGTTCAAATCTTTTGCCTATTTTTTTTCAAGCTTTTAAACCTTTTCTTTATTGATCCCCAGTCCTCAGACTTAGTCTCTTTTTTTTTGCCCATTTAAAATTTTTTTTTACTGTTGAGTTGTAAGAGTTCTTCATACATCCTTGACACAAGGTCCTTAAATATATGATTTTGCAAATATTTTCTTCCATTCTGTGGCTTGTCTTTTCACCTTGATGGTGTCCTTAGGTGCACAAAAGTATTTTATTTTGATGAAGTACAAGGTCACAAAGGCACACCCCTATTTTTACTTCTAGGAGTTTTCAGAGGTGACTTTTGATTGCAGTTCTCCACTCTTGGGGCAAACCCCTGAGCAGACCTCAAGCTACAGCCGTGGCCACAACCCTCGACAAAGCCTTCACTCTAAATCCCAGATAGTCTGCTTACATTTCAGCCTTTCTTCTCCAAGGTTTCATATGGGGTGACCAACTGTGAACAGGAATCCAGGCAGGAGTTGAAGGTTTAGGATGCAGGCTGGTGAGAGAGGAAGTGGCTGGTGTCAGACTCTGGACACCAGAATCTGGGACAAAGGCTCTGGGCTGAGAAGGCACCTTGGCAGCTGCAGGAGATCCTCCCAGGAGGGGCTGGACCCTCTGCTGTCCATTGTCACTCTCCTTCACTTCATTGCCAGGAGCTGGGACAGTGGGTCCATTCTAGAAAAGCCTAAGGTGACTCCTTGGTCACCACCAAACTTGGTTTTCCTTATCTCTATTTATACTGAGTGCCAGGTCACCCACTGAGAGATCCAGGATCAGGGGCTGGTGATCTCTGATCACACAGGACTTTAGGACACAGGAGATACCTTTGGGAAACCTAGGTGTGCTGGATGCCCGCTCTACTGCTCTGGCTGTGAGCAGATGGCTGGGTTGGTGGGTGTGGGCACAGAGAGGGGCATGAGGGTCAAGGAAGGCAGCAGATCTTACAGTCCGGG